CTGGGAAAGACTGATTGCGGTTATTTGGGTAATTCCACGATATATTGAAACTAAGTGATTTGTGATTGCTTTCCCCAAGCTCATCATTAACCTCATGATTATTAATTATTGATTCTTTGTTGACAAGAAGCAAAGTCAAGCCCGTTGTTTCCTCTAGTTGGTTCTAGCAACTTTATTTTGAATATTGTCTTTTAAACATATCCCTGAGGTATCATGGTATTATCTGTTGTTTTCAATCTTTGTACATTACCTTATTTCCCCCACACACTCATACCTCTATAATCTATCAGTTTAAAGTCCCAGATAAATCAGCAATGACCCCCCTCAAATGGGTTGGATAATGCAACAACTCCGGCTCCAGAGAGATGTCCCCATCCCTTTAATACACATCACGTTTGCCATGGAATTTGTTTCAGTTATCAATGAATGGGACTGCAAGTTCATTGCAGTACCTGTCTAGCCAGCAATTTATACCAATTGCCCTAGACATACATTCACTGCCCACCCCTTCTAGGCAAAATGCTACATATGACTGGGACCCCTCCCTTAGACCTGACTACATCTATGGCTGACTTGCACTTATCCAGCAGCTCCTGTCTCCCGCCCTTCCTGATGTCATTTCCACCAGCACTATGACAGATAATGGGCTTATTCCCATTACCTGACATAATATTATCCAACTTGTTGACTATGTCACCAACACTGGCTCCTGGGAAGTGCACACTCTGTCTCACCTTTCTATCTCTGTACAAAATGCACAGTCCATATCTTACCTGGGAGTCTCCCTGTGGCATGCGAAGAGTATGTTATATTTATTCGGCATATGTACACACTCCCATATAGGCTGCCTCCCAATCAGTGAACTGGGTGCCCCATCGTCAAATCAGTACCCTGGTTCATTGACCAATCATAAGATGGGTCAGACAATTGCTGAGGTGATGTGGTAGCACACATGGTCAGCTCTTGTCAGACTCACAGAGCTGCTGGTTGATCACAGTTCTCTCTCTCTCTCTCTCTCTCTCTGGCTGTTGTCTTGCCTTTTGATTACCATGATACACTTATTTTCCAAACTCTTGTACATAGTGTACATAAGTGTAAATACCTATAATCGTACATACTTGGTGAAGGAAAATACAATTTAAAGATTACTGCTGTGTTTATTTTCACTCCAAGTACCATTATGACCAGGTTAACAGGCCTTTATCACCTGGGTGCATGATACTTCCACTCCCAGAATGTTCTTACCTCAAATAGCAGGGGAGTCAATATCTTTAACATCACTAACCACTGAAGTACTCTCGTCCTGGAGAATAGAGAATTGATTTTGTACCTTCATTTTTTCTGAATTTATTTTCCTTATCTTAATGCTTTTTCCTGAAGTGTGAACCACTTGCCATTTAAAGTGGCTGCCACTCTCCAACTCACTGCTGGTAACCTTTTCCTCCTTACCAGATTCAACCATCTCACACTCGGTCCCAAACCCATCAAGGTGAAGTTTCAGTCTCCTATTCTCCTCCTGAAGAAGTAGAACCTCCTTCCTCAACACTTTAACCTGAGAATCTGGAACACTCCTGTAGTTATATATATATATATATATATATAATATATATATACTTGTTCAAATTTTGACTTTTCAGCTGTTCCTGAAGTACAATTTGGAGTACAAGTATGAGGAGTGGGACCCTGTGTTCTACAAACCTGATAAGCCACAAAACTTTACCATGACAGAATGCCGAGTCAGATATCATCACTTCTCTTCTTGTCTACACAATGTGTATCTCTGCTGCAGTGACTTTTAATTACCTAAAATTTATACATAATACCTGGAGTACCTGGAGAGAGTTCCGGGGGTCAACGCCCCCGTGGCCATGTCTGTGACCAGGCCTCCTGGTGGATCAGAGCCTGGTCAACCAGGCTGTTGCTGCTGGCTGCATGCAAACCAACGTACGAGCCACAGCCCGGCTGATCAGGAACTGACTTTAGGTGCTTGTCCAGTGCCAGCTTGAAGACTGCCAGGGGTCTGTTGGTAATCCCCCTTATGTATGCTGGGAGGCAGTTGAACAGTCTCGGGCCCCTGACACTTATTGTATGGTCTCTTAACGTGCTAGTGACACCCCTGCTTTTCATTGGGGGGATGGTGCATCGTCTGCCAAGTCTTTTGCTTTCGTAGTGAGTGATTTTCGTGTGCAAGTTCGGTACTAGTCCCTCTAGGATTTTCCAGGTGCATATAATCATGTATCTCTCCCTCCTGCGTTCCAGGGAAAACAGGTTTAGGAACCTCAAGCGCTCCCAGTAATTGAGGTGTTTTATCTCCGTTATGCGCGCTGTGAAAGTTCTCTGTACATTTTCTAGGTCGGCAATTTCACCTGCCTTGAAAGGTGCTGTTAGTGTGCAGCAATATTCCAGCCTAGATAGAACAAGTGACCTGAAGAGTGTCATCATGGGCTTGGCCTCCCTAGTTTTGAAGGTTCTCATTATCCATCCTGTCATTTTCTAGCAGATGCGATTGATACAATGTTATGGTCCTTGAAGGTGAGATCCTCCGACATGATCACTCCCAGGTCTTTGACGTTGGTGTTTCGCTCTATTTTGTGGCCAGAATTTGTTTTGTACTCTGATGAAGATTTAATTTCCTCATGTTTACCATATCTGAGTAATTGAAAATTTCTCATCGTTGAACTTCATATTGTTTTCTGCAGCCCCACTGAAAGATTTGGTTGATGTCCGCCTGGAGCTTGCAGTGTCTGCAATGGAAGACACTGTCATGCAGATTCGGGTGTCATCTGCAAAGGAAACACGTGCTGTGGCTGACATCCTTGTCTATGTCGGATATGAGGATGAGGAACAAGATGGGAGCGAGTACTGTGCCTTGTGGAACAGAGCTTTTCACCGTAGCTGCCTCGGACTTTACTCTGTTGACTACTACTCTCTGTGTTCTGTTAGTGAGGAAATTATAGATCCATCGACCGACTTTTCCTGTTATTCCTTTAGCACGCATTTTGTGCGCTATTACGCCATGGTCACACTTGTCGAAGGCTTTTGCAAAGTCTGTATATATTACATCTGCATTCTTTTTGTCTTCTAGTGCATTTAGGACCTTGTCGTAGTGATCCAATAGTTGAGACAGACAGAAGCGACCTGTTCTAAACCCATGTTGCCCTGCATGTTATCTTGCACATTCAATGAAAAGGAAAATTATCCTCTTGAGATTTTATTTTCCTGATACAGGCAGCATTCTGGGCACACAACCCACCGCTGAGGAGCTGAATGAAGAATTTGAGACGTAGGCTCTGATTTATTATCTATGTTGTTCTACTCCCTATTGTATTTTTGTCAATATACTTTGTCTTTAAATAAAGTCTACACAAACACATACATACAGTGGAACCTCAGTTTTCGTGGTTAATCCATTCAAAAAAGTCTGACGAAAACCGAATCATACAAAAACTGAAGCAATATTTCCCATTTGAAATAATGTATATCCAATTAATCCATTCCAGACACCCAAAAATATTAACAAAAAATACATTTTATAAGGAATTACTATAATTTTACATACAGAAAACAATGAGAAATAAATACAAATGAATTATGAAATGGATAAATGTGCATTTAACATCACTTTTACCTTTACTGAAGACTCTTGTTGATGTATGGAAAACAGTGAGAAGGGGAGAGGTTATTGTTGGGAAGAATAATTCCTGTCCATAAGGAATTCAGGATGTCGACACAAGTGGAAATAAACAGATATTGAACTATCTATAAGTAATATAGTGAGTGACAAGGATATATATGTGCAGTGACATAGTGAACTAAATTGTAGGTAAGAGTAATCTTAATTATCCAACAGTATAGCATACAATATATAGTGTAGATATGGGAATATCTTACAAGCCACTGGCACTAGTGAACTATTGCCAGAGGTCCAGTGAAGTGTTAATAACGGATGAGTAATTACTATAGTCATAAGAGATAAAACGAGTGATGGTAGCATTGAGGTGCAGGGAATCACAGCATACATAAATTGAGCATACAATCGATGGAAAGGCATATGACTACCGTGTGACGTGTTTTTCCTGTTACCTCTACTAAACAGGAAATAAACTTTTCCATGGAAATGTAGGGAAAAGCTACCTTAGGCCTAGCTGCTGTGTGAATAATAAAACAATGATCCCAGTATAACGCAGCGAAAAGTGTATTTTGAAAGAATACAGTGGCACAAGACCGTGGCCCACAGTACAGATGTAGGAGAGGAGTCTCCTCCTTCTTCCTCTACTGAGGAAAGTAGATGGAATCCAGGATGGGGTGGCCTTGGCTTGGATACTGAGGATTATAGTGCAGTCCCAGAACCTGCAGAAACTGACAACACACCTCCCAACAATTCTCAACCAAAGGTGAATTTGTGCAAATATTATGCTTGGGGCATTTGTAAGCAAGGAATATCAGGAAAAGAAATGGGACATGCAACTTTGAGCATCCCAAATAATGTAGCGACCTCCTGTCTAAAGGAATGTGTCGTTCTTCTTCCTGTACTTTCTTTCACCCAAAAATGTGTCACTCCTCGGTCCTCCAGAAGCAGTGTTACAACATCAACTGCCTTGCATACCATCTAAAAGGGACCAGGAGGCACAGACCCCACAAGACAAACAATAGTAGCTACGACAGCCCAACTCCAGGTGATTTTTTAGTGGCAGGAAACAGAAAAAGAAAATGGAAGGAAATAACAAAAATAGTCCACCACCTTGGAGCCTTGTTGGACTGAAGGTGCAGCCAGTGGCCACACATGGCCCTCCAGAACTACAACTACTGATGCCAATAACAAAATCCCCCCAACAAACACAGAATACAACTTGACTCAAGAAATCGTAATGACACGATTGCAAACAAACCATACCCCCGGCCGGGATTGAACCCGCGGTCATAGAGTCTCAAAACTCCAGCCCGTCGCGTTAGCCACTGGCTAACGCGACGGGCTGGAGTTTTGAGACTATGACCGCGGGTTCAATCCCGGCCGGGGGTATGGTTTGGACAGAATACAACCTCGTTCATATTTGCTAATATACAGGGCCTTAAGCCATCCACCAATGACAAAATACCTTTTATCAGTGGACTTCTAGAGGAGTCTAATGCAATGTTTGCAGCCTTCACAGAGACTCACACAAAAGATCACTTTGACAGTGAAATATGGATAAGTGGTTACAACCTTTTTAGATGCGACAGAAAGAACAGGCAACAAGGGGGGGGGGGTTGGCCTGTGTGTCAAAGAGTCCCTCATCTGCACAGAGTTGCTGAACACCACAAATGAGGTAGTTGAAGTTCTATCAATAAAGATCGAGAACCAAAACCTAGTCATTGTGGTTATATATAAGCCACCAGATGCAACCTCCCAACAGTTCAAGGAACAGCTACTGAAAATTGGTTACTGTCTGAAAAACCATCTAGCTCCATCCCCAAACATCTTACTGCTTGGTGATTTCAACCTAAAGCATACAAAATGAAAGAATGTAGTGAATAATGTAATAGCTGAAACGATCCCTGGAGGTAGCACAGATGAAAGGTCACACACACATGAGCTACTAAGTCTCTGCGAGGAACACACCTTAAGCCAGCAGACAGTGGAGCCAACAAGACTAGAAAACACACTTGACTTTATCTTCACAAATAATGAGGACCTGATAAGAGACATAAGAATATAAAAAACAACTAATTCTGATCACAACCTAATCGAAGTCCAGACATATATGCATAGGGGTCCTGATCAGCAGAATGCATGTACCTGTGAAGGTGTCTTCACAAAATACAACTTCAACAACAAGAACATCAACTGAGACCAGGTGAACCATGTCCTAAATGAAACATGTTGGGAAGATATCTTAAATGACATGGATCCAAACCAGTGCCTTGAAAGGATCAATTTCCTGGCAGCTGAAGCATGTTCTAGGCATATTCCCCTAAGAAAGAAGAAGAGCAGGAGTAAACTGGAGAGAGAAAGACGCTCCCTCCACAGAAGACGACGAAGAGTCACTGAGCTTCTCAGGAGTGCTAGAATATCTGATACACGAAAGGAGGAGCTGACCAGGGAAGTGGAAACTATCGAACTTAAGTTAAATGACTCTTACAGGAACCAGGAGAGACAGGAGGAGCTTAAAGCTATTAGTGAAATTGAAAGAAATTCAAAATATTTTTTTTCTTATGCCAAAAACAAGGCAAATACCACATCTAGTATCAAGCCCTTACTCAGACAGGATGGGACTTACACAGATGACAAGGAAATGAGTGAAATACTGAAATCCCAGTATGACTCTGTGTTTAATGAGCCACTAATCAGTCTGAGGATCGACGACCCAAATGATTTCTTCATGACTGAGCCTCATAACTCCATAAATGTATGCCAGATTTCCGACATTACTCTAACTCCGATAGACTTCGAAAAAGCCATTGACAACATGCCCATGCACTCAGCCCTGGGCCCAGACTTGTGGAACTCTGTATTCATTAAAAACTGCAAGAAACCCCTCTCGCGTGCCCTAAGTACACTATGGAGGAGGAGCTTGGACATGGGTGAAATTCCACAGTCACTTAAAACAACAGATATAGCCCCACTCCATAAAGGTGGCAGCAAAGCATTAGCTAAGAACTATAGACCAATAGCTCTGACATCCCACATCATAAAAATCTTTGAAAGAGTGCTAAGAAGCAGGATTGCAAATCACCTGGATTCCCAGAATCTGCACAATCCAGGGCAACATGGGTTCAGGGCAGGTCACTCCTGCCACTCACAACTACTGGATCACTATGATATGGCCTTGGATGCACTGGAAGAAAATCAGAATGCAGATGTAATATACACAGACTTTGCAAAAGCGTTTGACAAATGCGATCATGGCGTAATAGTGCACAAAATACGTGCTAAAGGAATAACTGGGAAAGTGGGGAGATGGATCTTCAACTTTCTAACAAATCGAACACAAAGAGTAGTGGTCAACAGAGTTAAATTGGAGGCTGCTATAGTGAAGAGCTCTGTTCCACAAGGCACAGTACTCGCCCCCATCTTATTCCTCATCCTCATATCAGACATAGACAGATATATACATCACAGCACCATATCATCCTTTGTGGATGATACTAGGATCTGCATGAGGCTGTCATCTGCTGAGGACGCGGTTAACCTCCAAGAAGATATAAAGAAAAGTTTTCCAGTGGGCAACGGAAAACAATATGATGTTCAATGAAGACAAATTCCACCTACTCCGTTATGGAAAACTGGAGGAGATAATAACTAGAACAGAGTATACTACAAACTCTGGCCATACAATAGAGCAGAAAAATAATGTAAGGGACCTGGTAGTAGTAATGTCTGAGGATCTCACTTTCAAGGATCACAACAGTGCCACGATCACAAGTGCAAAGAAAATGACAGGATGGATAATGATAATGTTCAAAGCGAGAGATGCCAAGCCAATGATGATCCTTTTCAAATCACTTGTTCTCTCAAGGCTGGAATACTGCTGTACAGTAACATCTCCATTCAAAGCAGGTAAAATTGCAGATCTAGAGAGTGTACAGAGATCCTTTACTGCACGTATAAGTTCTGTCAAGCACCTTAACTACTGGGAACGCTTGGAAGCACCTGACTTGTACTCGCTGGAATGCAGGAGAGATACAGTGGACCCCCGGTTAACGATATTTTTTCATTCCAGAAGTATGTTCAGGTGCCAGTACTAACCGAATTTGTTCCCATAAGAAATATTATGAAGTAGATTAGTCCATTTCAGACCCCCAAACATACACGCCCAAACGCACTTACTTAAATACACTTACATAATTGGTCTCATTGGGAGGTGTTCGTTAAGCGGGGGTCCACTGTATATCATAATCTACACTTGGAAAATCCTGGAAGGAATGGTCCCGAATCTGCACACACAAATCACTCCCATCACTGGGCAGGCGATGCAAAATACCCACAATTAAAAGTAGGGGCACCATTGGTACACTAAGAGAAAACACCATAAGTGTCTGGGGCCCAAGACTGTTCAACAGCCTCCCATCAAGCATTAGGGGAATTACCGATAAACCCCTGGCTGCCTTCAAGAGAGAGCTGGACAGATACCTAAAGTCAGTGCCGGATCAGCCGGGCTGTGGCTCGTACATTAGACTGCGTGCGGCTAGCAGTAACAGCCTGGTTGATCAGGCCCTGATCCACCGGGAGGCCTGGTCATGGACCGGGCCATGGGGGCGTTGATCCCCGGAATAACCTCCAGGTAATCTAGGCCCTATTTGGGGTTACTTCCCTTCTTTGCCTTTTACTGGCACTAGGACCAGCTTGAGAGTCACTGGATCCCTGTCGTACAAAAAATCTGTCCAGCGAGGTCTGTTTCTGACATCTCTTCAAGGTTTGCCTAAAATGGGACACAGCAGTGTTGCTGAACATGTTGCAGGCACAGCCTGCCACAGCTTTGCCAGGGTGATGTTTCTCCACAAAACTTTACACTTTATTCCACTTTGCACACATTTCCTTAATCACTGAAGAAGGCACAATCTGCTCCTCTCTCGTTCTCCTCTGAAGCAATTTCCTCAGTTATGGCCTGTTGCAGTTCCAGTTGAAGGTCTTGGAGCTCATCAGTGGATAGCTCTTCCCTGTGGTCGTCCACCAACTCTTCCACATCCTGGCCATTCACATCCAACCCCATGGACTCTCCCAAAGATACAATTGATTCCACAACAGGCGTAGGGTCGTCTGCGTCAGCTTCAAACCCTCCAAAAACCTTCTTGAGGACACATTCTGGCCACAATTTTCTCCAAGCAGAGTTCATCGTCCTGGAAGTCACTCCCTGCCAAGCCTTATCTATAAGGCTTATGCAATTGAGGATATTGAAGTGATTCCTCCAGAACTCTCTTAGGGTCATTCCAGTGTCGAAGGTCACATCAGAGCACCTTTGAAATAGTGCTTTCGTGTAAAGTTTTTTGAAGTTTGAAATGACCTGCTGGTCCATGGGCTGGATGAGAGAAGTGGTATTAGGGGGCAAGAACTTCACTGTAATGAAACTAAACTCCTCCAACAAATGATCTTCCAAGCCTGGAGGATGAGCAGGAGCACTGTCCATTACCAGAAGGCACTTCAGTGGCAACTGATTCTTAAGGAGGTATTTCTTCACACTCGGGCCAAACATTTCATTGACCCATTCAATGAAAATTTGCCTCGTGACCCATGCCCTATTGTTAGCCTTCCACATCACACTCAGTCTACTCCTGATGATATTGTTTTTCTTAAACACTCGGGGATTTTCAGAGTGATACACCAGTAAAGGCTTCACTTTGAAATCCCCACTAGCATTACCACAAAACAAAAGTGTTAGTCTATCCTTCATAGGCTTGTGTCCTGGCAGTGCCTTTTCTTCCTGTGTGATGTAGGTCCTCTTTGGCATTTTCTTCCAAAAGAGGCCTGTTTCGTCACAATTGAAGACTTGGTTGGGGAGGAATCCTTTAGCCTTTACGTACTCCTTGAATTCATCAACAAATTCTTCGGCCCCATGTTTGTCCAAACTTGCAACCTTGCCATGCCTTACCACATAGTGTATGCCAGTTCGCTTCTTGAATTTGTCGAACCAGTCTCTGTTGGCCTTAAATTCACTAACCGCAGCACTCGTTCCAGGCATTTTCCTTACGAGATTTGCATGCAATTGCTTTGCCTTCTCGCAAATTATCGCCTCCGAAACACTATCTCCCGCTAACTGCTTTTTGTCAATCCACACCCACAACATCATCTCAAAATGTTCGATTTTTTGCGTTCTCTGTTTCATTAGCACATTTACCCCTTTCGCAACATCAGCTTCCTTGATTTCTTTTCTCTTCGCTAGGATGGAACTGATCACTGATGCAGATGTCCCGTACATCCTGGCGAGATCGGCCACACATACGGCACTTTCGTACTTTGCTACAAGTTCTTGCTCTTGTACTTGTTTTCGTATATTTCTTTGTTTTACACTAACTCGCTGACTTTTCTTAGGCAATTCTTCATGTTCCTCTTCACTGGAAGATGAAGAGTGTGACTGTGGTTCATATTCATCCCCAGAATCTACTTCCTCATTAGGGTCACTTTCATTACATATCTCTGGCACGATATAATCCCTATGTCTTCGAGCCTTTGATTCACAAAACATGTCTGTGTTTAACTGAAATAAATAGAAAACATAAAATGAGATTTAAATTAAGTACATTTTATAAATTTACAAGGTATATTTACTCATATATCAATGTCTTTGTTCCAGTAAAGTCAACTGCATGCAGTTGTTAGCTATGAATGACAAAGATGGTCTAATTGTTATTGGTCAATCCATCATATATGATGACTTTATTGGCACAGTTGCTATTACCACTGTTGGTCTAGGCATCACATAAGTGGCCTTCTGTGACACATGTGGTTTTAAGATTGTCAGGAAAGGAATCATATATGAGGCTACAAACATTTCACAAAAATTCAAGTGCATGCATTTGTTTGCATTTGTTACTTCTCTGTCTCAGACAATTCATTTGCATCTCAAAATGATGTTCAAACTTTAAGTAAAGCACTGGAAGCCCATTCACTAATTTACCACCATTCTGGAATGGTGTAAATTGGTGAAATATTCAGAGGTCAAAAATCCTTCCCATTCAACAACTGACACAATACTGAACACTGCTGGAGCTCCCAGTCAACAGCAATCGAAAACACCCAAGCCACGGTCTATTCAAGCTCTGCCCAGAATGTTTGTGATTGGTCTGAGACAAAAGGTCTCTCTGACGAAGCACGTGGCGCTGATGGCGCCATGAAAACCACACTTTTCACACAACACATATATGGCTAAGCCCAGTAAATGGCTAACCCTTTGTTTGGCAGCTTCTCACCTGGCTGTAATTGGTAGTTTCCCCAGGCATGCCTGTTGCTTTGGCATCAACGGGCAGCAAGTTAGGAACGATTTTTTCATTACTGCCATCATTATGCATATTATCATCACTGTCATCCACGCGATCTTCCATCTCTATTGGTTCTGTGGAGAGTTAAAAATTACTTATTTTTATCAAGGACATGAGAAGTGTTTGGCTGAGAAGAGAAAACAGTATTACGAGAGAAAATAAAGATGGTAGTCACAGCATCAGGTTGAGGGACCGACCATCTTCTATCAAGACTAAATGACCTATCATGGCTGAGGGATTGACCACTTTCAGTCAAGGCTAAAAAACTTAATACCTTCTATCAAGGCTGAGGGACTAACCCTTTCTATCAAGGCTGAGGGACTGACCACCTTCAATCAATACTAAAACACCTATCAAGGACAAGGGTCTGACCATCTTCTATCAATACTAAATGACCAAACACCTTTTATTAAGGCTGGGAGACTGACCACCTCAATATTACTCCAGCACTTCCTCTACTAAATCTAGCACAAAATCACATCTGTCTTCAACTGAATAAGTCTGCTGAACAAGTGAAGTTTTTCATCAATAAAGGTACCCAAGTGTTGTACATGTGTTTTTGTTCATCAATCAGTTCAGTGTGTTCACTCTGAAGGATGAGAGGAGTTGCAGAACTTGAATGGATTATCAGAATCTTTATGTTCTTATATTCCAAGGTTGATTGATCAATTCCTTGTTGCTTGGAATGTCAAACAGTTAATGCATAGCAAGAAATTATGCACAGATGCAAAGCAGCTCCATACATTTATTCACTGTTTGCAACAGTTAAGCCTCAGCTCCTGTACATACATATGTAAGCAAAACAACCACTGTGAAAAAATAAGTGAACTTCTAAGCCTTATAAGCCTTCTACTGGTCTGTTATTTTTACAGGCCCTTAATAATGTCAGAAATTATGAAAGCAGTTGGACTTTCACTATTTTTCACAGTGGTCATATTGTGATATCACCAATTTACCATAATGTTGTAGCATATGTATGAATTCTTGTATAAATGTGGTGCAAAAAGAACAAAGAGGCACAGTACCATGCCTGGAATACACAAATAACCCACACACAGGAGAGAGAAAAGTGTGATGAGGTTTTGCTCCCACCTGGACCATTTGTAAGTCATGCTTGTCAATGGTCCAAATGGGACTGAAACATGGTAGTAAATTTCTCTCTCCTATGTGTGGGTTATTTGTGTATTGTTCCAGTCACGGTATTGTGCCTCTTTGTTCTTTGTAATCCATTAAGTTAAATTACCTTATACAAATACAGTGGAACCTCGTTTTTCAGCCGTAATCCATTCCAGAAGGTCGGCCTAAATTCGAAGCAGCCTATATTCGAGGCAATATTTCCCATAAGAATTAATGTAAATACAATTAATCCATTCCAGACACCCAAAAATATTCACACAAAATACATTTTTAAAGATTAATTATAGTTTTACATACACAAAACAATAACTAAAAATAAAGGGGAAGTTCGTGAGGCAGTAGGTAAAATGAAAGGGGGTAAGGCAGCCGGGATTGATGGGATAAAGATAGAAATGTTAAAAGCAGGTGGGGATATAGTTTTGGAGTGGTTGGTGCAGTTATTTAATAAATGTATGGAAGAGGGTAAGGTACCTAGGGATTGGCAGAGAGCATGCATAGTTCCTTTGTATAAAGGCAAAGGGGATAAAAGAGAGTGCAAAAATTATAGGGGGATAGTCTGTTGAGTGTACCTGGTAAAGTGTATGGTAGAGTTATAATTGAAAGAATTAAGATGTAAGACGGAGAATAGGATAGCAGATGAACAAGGAGGCTTTAGGAAAGGTTTAGGGGGTGTGTGGACCAGGTGTTTACAGTGAAACATATAAGTGAACAGTATTTAGATAAGGCTAAAGAGGTCTTTGTGGCATTTATGGATTTGGAAAAGGCGTATGACAGGGTGGATAGGGGGGCAATTGGCAGATGTTGCAAGTGTATGGTGTAGGAGGTAGGTTACTGAAAGCAGTGAAGAGTTTTTACGAGGATAGTGAGGCTCAAGTTAGAGTATGTAGGAAAGAGGGAAATTTTTCCAGTAAAAGTAGGCCTTAGACAAGGATGTGTGATGTCACCGTGGTTGTTTAATATATTTATAGATGGGGTTGTAAGAGAAGTAAATGCGAGGGTCTTGGCAAGAGGCGTGGAGTTAAAAGATAAAGAATCACACACAAAGTGGGAGTTGTCACAGCTGCTCTTTGCTGATGACACTGTGCTCTTGGGAGATTCTGAAGAGAAGTTGCAGAGATTGGTGGATGAATTTGGTTAGGGTGTGCAAAAGAAGAAAATTAAAGGTGAATACAGGAAAGAGTAAGGTTATGAGGATAACAAAAGATTAGGTGATGAAAGATTGAATATCAGATTGGAGGGAGAGAGAGTATGGAGGAGGTGAACGTATTCAGATATTTGGGAGTGGACGTGTCAGCGGATGGGTCTATGAAAGATGAGGTGAATCATAGAATTGATGAGGGAAAAAGAGTGAGTGGTGCACTTAGGAGTCTGTGGAGACAAAGAACTTTGTCCTTGGAGGCAAAGAGGGGAATGTATGAGAGTATAGTTTTACCAACGCTCTTATATGGGTGTGTGAAGCGTGGTGATGAATGTTTGCAGCGAGGAGAAGGCTGGAGGCAGTGGAGATGTCATGTCTGAGGGCAATGTGTGGTGTGAATATAATGCAGAGAAATTTGTAGTTTGGAAGTTAGGAGGAGGTGCGGGATTACCAAAACTGTTGTCCAGAGGGCTGAGGAAGGGTTGTTGAGGTGGTTCGGACATGTAGAGAGAATGGAGCGAAACAGAATGACTTCAAGAGTGTATCAGTCTGTAGTGGAAGGAAGGCGGGGTAGGGGTCGGCCTAGGAAGGGTTGGAAGGAGGGGGTTAAAGGAGGTTTTGTGTGCGAGGGGCTTGGACTTCCAGCAGGCATGCGTGAGCATGTTTGATAGGAGTGAATGGAGACAAATGGTTTTTAATACTTGACGTGTGCTGTTGGAGTGTGAGCAAAGTAACATTTATGAAGGGATTCAGGGAAACCGGCAGGCCGGACTTGAGTCCTGGAGATGGGAAGTACAGTGCCTGCACTCTGAAGGAGGGGTGTTAATGTTGCAGTTTAAAAACTGTAGTGTAAAGCACCCTTCTGGCAAGACAGTGATGGAGTGAATGATGGTGAAAGTTTTTCTTTTTCGGGCCACCCTGCCTTGGTGGGAATCGGCCGGTGTGATAATAAAAAAAATAAAATAAATAAACAAACATTAAAGTCACTATTTATTACATACCTTTATTGAAGACTCTTGTTGGCTTATGCCTTATGGAGAGAGGAAGGACTGACTATTGTTTGGAAGGGGCATCCCCTTCCACAAGGACTCAGGTAACAAAGCCCTCTCTGGGGTTACTTCCCTCTCTGCCTGCTACACTCCCTGCATGCCTGCTACACGCCCTGCCTGCCTGCTATACTCCATACCTCCCTTCTACACTCCATTTCCCTGCTACACTCCCTGCCTCCCTTCCATACTCCCTGTTTCCCTGCTACACTCCCTGCCTACCTGCTACACTCCATACCCATGGTGGCTTATCTCACAGTTGCACTTAATAAACAAACCAAATCAGCTTCCTTGACTTGTTCTTTCTTTGCCAGGATAGAAGTGACTGTTGATTTGTTTTTGCCATACATCCCATGGTGACTTATTTCACAGTCGCATTTAATAAAAAACAAAAACAATGGATTTTAAGCAAATGTTTGGATGAATGCGCAGAGTATACGCTCACTCGTCAACAGACAAAGGGAGACTGACTCACCTACGCACAGTGTCCCAGGCTGACATGTTTAATATGGCCGATATACAAGGCAACGGCCAAAATACGGAGCAAAATTTCTGCCCAAAATATGGCCTAAATACGAATCATCTGATAAATGCAGCGGAAAAAAAAACGAGGTTCCACTGTACAAATAATCATTAGAGGTGACTAAAATGCTGGGAGTAAGGTGCTAGCAACCCCTTCTGTATAAATTACAGTAGACTGTCATTTAACATGGGTTTATTTGGCACAATTTGTTTATAGCATGATTGAAGAATTGCGACACAATTTTATACAACACTCCGTAAAATTAACTTAACACGGTTCAGTTTGAGGGAGGGGAAAAAATTTTGGGTGTGTGGTCACCCATGGGACTGGCTATGGGTTACACCACTGAGTCAATGGGGGAGACCTACTGCCATCACCCACCACCCTATGCCCCCCACCACCCTCCCAGCCTTCGGTTCGGTTCACACGTGTGTAGGACGATCCTCTGGGAGCTCGCTGTGTTTGTTTAGATATGTATTAATTGCCATATGTTAAATCTGCTATGCAATCATGACACCCAGTAGGCATATAAGTGTTCTTGAAAGTGGCAAGACAAGGTATAAGCATTTAAGTCTTAGAATTAATGAAGAAAATAGAGATATTAGACAAGAGAGGGCCAGTGGCCATAATGAAGCATCACTCTGTGCACATAAGAATGAGGTAAATATGAGTGTGTGTGATGACTGACTGACTTACTGAATTACTTAGTGACTGACTGATTTACCAATTGGCTTACTGACTGACTGACTTGACCGACTTAAAGTTAGACTTTTTCACTTAAGAGGACCCTGAAATGGTATCTAGAACAGCTGATGCCTTACCATCAGTTGTATAATGTACTGTTGAGTAATATAGAACAAATCCATTACAGTATTTATGCATATTCCAATACAACCATCGACTTCAGTATCAAAACTTATACCATCTACCTCAGCCCAGTAGGGCCACAGCATAACTCTCTACTCTCCACAATCTTCCACAAAACACCAGCACCCATAATTTAAGGTAAGAAATACTATTATTTCTGTTGCATTTGTAATCTTAAGCAGTAAAAACAACATAATACATCATGATAATGAACTAAAGTTACAAACTCACTTTTATTTTTGTAAGATGTGGAAGTATAAAAAAAAAGTTGTTTGGCTTTTTTGGGGCTCCCAGGAATGTAACCCTATTTTTCCCATAAGCTCTTCAGTTCATCTAACATGGTTTTACCTAAGACGGCATTTT